AGTTGAAGTCCACAAGTCTTAAAACTGTCAAGTTTGAAGACCCCTGTTCTAGTCCAAACTCCCGCTTGAGCAGGAGTTCCTTACAGAATCATAGAATGGCCTTGGAGGACCTTGGAGATCATCTAGTCCAACCCCCTTATATCATCTGGAATCAGGATTATTTTGGTACTTGTAACAGAGAGGAAAATTTGCAGAGGAGTTTACTAGGATAAGATTGCCATGCAGAGGAAGGCAGAGATAGTCCTTCACTTATGACCACAATTGAGCCCAAAATTTTGGTTGCTAATCAAGAGCGTTATTAAGTGAGTTTCACCACATTTTACTAAATCCATGCTATCTCCTGGGTCTGATGGTCATGCGCAGGCTAGGGAAGTAAATCTGAAGGTGTGTGCATGTTTTAAGGTACAGAAATTATAGTTAAATGTGTGGCAGAAAGTGGAATGGGTGTGTTTTTCCAAATGCAGTGAGGTTGAATGTGTATAGTTTTAGAAGAGAGCTCTCTCTCTCTCTCTGTGTGTGTGTGTGTGTGTACAAACACATACAGTATATATAGTAGATAATGTAGCTTTGTGTGCCTATACAAACACTATACTATTTAATATGTATGTACACATATGGCATATATACATAGGATTAAATAGTGTATTTTGGATGTTCAGTTGTTGTGACTGGAAGGATTGACCCTGCTGGGAGTTTTGAGTTTGATGCCTCTGAAGATGGAAGGTTTGAGCCTGCTGTGAATGTGGAGTCTGAATTATCAGAAGACACAGATGTGAGCCAGGAGGATGAGAGATTGTCGAAGAGACAATCCACTCCAGAACCTTCGACTTCGTACATGACAGCAGCTGATCCACAAAATGAGCCAGAGGTTTCTAGCAAGGAGGAAACTGACAGATGTTGGCTTGACACTAGAAGTAGAAGAAGATTGAAACGTCAATCACAATCTGAAGGGAGGCGTCAAGCCAGACATTGATTAGAGAGACTGACACGCCCATACTGGGGATTTAAGGAGGCGTGCTGACTCTCAATCTTTGCTTGGAGCAAAGTGAAACGTGAGTAGTGCTTTGTGGATTCAAAAGGATACGTTTGAAGTGGCCATTGTGATTTATGAGCAATTCTGAGTTGCCAGACAGATTCCGGGAGACTGCCAAGGACCGAAAACAGTACTGTTAACTCTTTAAAGTCTGGTTTTGTCCTTGTTTGAATATTTTGAACTCTGGAACTTTGTATGCTCACCTGTGGATATATACATAGGATTAAATAGTGTATTTTGGATGTTCAGTCATAGTAAATAAATAGAGGGGAATTGTATCCAATCATATGACTACCAAGCCATGCCCACCAAATAAGCTACACCCACAGAACTGGTAGTAAAAAAAATTGAATCCCACCACTGAGATCTTTTAATTCAATTCCCTGTCCAGAAAACTGATTTCATGTACCCCATTAGCTTTCTCATATTTAAGTTAAACGTACCTAGATCCTTTAATAATTATTAAAGGCACAGTGGTTAGAATGCAGGCTAATTCTGCATACTGCCAGGAGTACAATCCTGTTTGACTCAACGTTGACTCAGCCTTCCATCCTTCCGAAGCCGGTAAAATGATAGATTGTTGGAGGCAGTATGTTGACAATGTAAAGCATTTGGAAAGTGCTGTCAAGCACTATGAAAGTATGTAAGTATATAAAGTGCTGTCACGCACTATGAAAATATTTCATATATACTATGAAAGTATATAAGTGCTACTGCTATTTGTAGAATTTAGCTCTAAGCCTCTCACATGTGTGCTGATTTTTTTTTTTTTTGTATATCTGTATAGTATTTATAGCCAGAATCCTCAAATTAGGACCATAATTGCACTCAGAATTATGGTCATAAATTGTGATCATAAGTAGAGGCATCATGTGACCAGACCTGATTTTTTTTGACAGTTTTGGTTAAGCAGGCACAGTGGTCATCAAGTGAATATGGCGGCTATTCAATGAACATGGCAGTTATTAAATGAACATGGTGGTTGCTAAACACATGTGACAGTTATTAAGCCAGTTAATTTTCCCCAATGCATAATTCTTGTTGGAAACTGAAAATAAACATGAGAAATAAGCAAAAAACACAGCAAATCATGGTCACATGCAGGGGTGGGATTCTACCAGTTAGCACCTATTTGCTAGAACTGGTTGTTAACATTCTAAGCAGTTTGGAGAACCGGTTGTTAGAAGAAATTACTGGCCTAATCCTGTAAGGAAGGCAGGAAGGAAACATTCTGGTGCTGCTTACAGAAACTGCCTCTCCGTTAACCCTTATTACATTCTTGGCAGGACTAGACTTCCTGTCTCAGGAACGTCTCTAGAGTTTTTTCCCCTCCTTTGCTGGTACTTTGCTTGTGTGGAATGACCATTCAAAGTTACAATGGCACTGAAAAAAGTGACTTATGACCATTTTTCACACTTATGACAGTTGCAGCATGCCCACAGTCATGAGAGGCCAGGCGAGGAGATGTGTGCCTCGATGTGAGTGATATTGAGTTGGCCATGGCCAGCCAATAACATGACCACCAAGCCACGTCCACCCAGTCACATGACCACCAAGCCATGTCCACCAACTACGGCATGCCCACAGAAACGGTTGTTAAACATTTTGAATCCCACCCCTGGTCACATGATCATGAAACACTACAAATGGCATAAAGGTGAGCCAGTTTCTAATTGCCCAAAATGCAATCAAATGACTGTGAAGGAGGTACATCCATCATAACTTCACAAATGAGTAATAGATAGTTATTTTTATGGGGGGGGGGGTTCATCATGCCTTTGAATGGTTATTAAGTAACCAGTTGTAAGTGAAAGACTACCTGTATTTCTTAAGACTAAAACATATAACTGTTTGTTATATGTTCCATCAACTAAGTGGATAGAACACTAATAGGTGAGAAGACTGCAAGAATGAAATAGGAGTTAGTTGCTCTTTTCTGGAAACATGCCATTGTCTCCTATAGCAGCATCTAATTTTATGCATTCATATCCATTGCTTTAAGAAAAAAAGTTAAAAATACCATCGTTCAATGATCACTGAGCTAACATATCAGTTTCCAATGATAGTAATTAACAATATTAAGATGAATTACAACAGAATAAAGGCCTATTTAATCCAGCACTATTTCTTTAATAATAGACTATGTGTCTAAATTAAATACACCAACAATTAGTTTCTGCAGTTGAATATTATAAATAGGTACCATGCCTAAGGGTTAAACTTATTAACCCTTTAATAAGTTTAAAATTGGATAAGTCAGTTTGAAAGCAAATCCCCTAAGATCTTTACATTGTCATAATATTTTTGATACACCAGCTTTATATTTCAACCACGTCTAAAAGTCAAGAACAGAGCAAAGTACGTTTTTCAAAATATTATGGAAGTGAACTGCACCTTGATTTAGGTAGTTCTCCATCATCCTTTCGCCATCTCAGTGTTGGCACTGGATCTCCACGTGCTTCACAATTAAATTCTGCACTGTCCTCTATGGTTACTGCTAAATTACTTGGTCTCTTTACAAATGATGGTCTTTCTAAAGAAAACAAATGATAACTAGATAATAGCATAGAAAACATGATACTTGCAAGTCCCAAGAGTAGTTTGAACCTTGCATAGTCATTTAAGAACCTGAAACATGCTAGGACCTAGACAATTTAGAGAAAAACATGGCAGAGCATCAGAAATTTGATCTGAAGTAATTAAGATTTATAAATATGTTATTTAAGTGCCCCCCAAACCTAAGATTTTTGCAAACCCCTGAATTTACAATCTATCTCTTGCTTATTAATTCTTCCTGGTATAAGGACAGTAAAACAAAACAAAAACTAAATTCCTTTGTGAAAAAGAAAGAAAACTAAGAGATAGAACAAAGAGACATTTCAATATATTGAAACTCAGTGCTGAAATGAAAATATCACAGTGAGATGTTCAGTGCTTCAGATATGAAGGCAAAAAGATTCTTTCATGGGAAGTGATTCTAGGAAAATATGTTAGAAGGAGATGTTGCCTGTATGTGCATACCCATCTAGAAATGCATAATAACATAAGGACCGCCCTAATGGATTGGATTCTGTTCTTACAATAGGCAACTAAATGCATAAGGAACTAAGTTGCATCTTGTTGGTACCTTCTTACATGTGGTCAAGATGCAAACTCAGGGAAAGACAACTCTTTTAAGGAGGTAATTTAAGATGTGATAAATATACTTCCTCCTGCTTCAAGGTACTTTTCTCCTTTTGATGTGAAAGACTGCACATCCCTAATATATGATTCTTACATCTTTGAATTACAATGTCCACTTTGCTCTAGGTAATTGAACTCCTGGAAAGTAATATATACAGTCTGAGATAATCAGCACTGTCATGTTTAAGTTCATCCTTTCAGGTACAGTTCCTAGCTGAAATATGAGATTTATTTATCATAATCATCTGTATTTTGTACTTTTAAAGCTAAATTATTTATAGCCTTATGTATAGATATATTTCTTATAGTTTTTCTTTGAAGACACTGCATACGCAACATGTTTTGGTCATTCTTACTTTCTGTAGTTGTTATAATATTTATCAGGATAAAATGAAACTTATTTATTATTGAGAGAAAGGTACATGATTTTTCTCTGAAAGGTCAGCGCGGGATGCACAGGAATCCAGTTGGAATATTGTACCATGTTCTGTATGGGACAATTGTTGAGGCATATCCGAAAGCTTCAGCTGCTCAGAATACAATGGCACATGCAATTTTGAATACACTGCAGCATGTCCACTGGCTTCCAGTAGACCACTGGTATTATTCACCCTTAAAGACCTATGTAGGATGGAACAAGGTTACTTGCAGGATTAATTTCTTGCAGGACTGGTTTCTCCCTCACTCTCCATATCTGGCAGAAAGGCCATGCTTGGGCACTATAGTTTAATAGTGGAATTATCTATAATTCTTAAACAAAAAATAAATTTACCAAGAACAGTAAGCTCTGCTACTTCACTTTCTCTTTCTCCAACCATATTTGTTCCAACACAGACATATTTCCCTGCATCATTTTTTCTGGTATAGGTAATCATCAGCTTCCCTCCTCTGATCTAAAATAAAAATGATAAGTATTAATAATTCCTTCATAAAACATGAGCAAACCAATTGAAATATTTGCATACAACAAAATTACAAATATAAACTAAACTAAACCATAAAAGATTTTTTTTTAAAAAGCTGACAGTTTATTTGAATGGACAGTACAATTTTTAAAAATATTGATTTAAAAATAAATGTACATGTGTGGGAGGTTTTTTCAAATGTGTGATAATAGATTTTGATGATCAAACTGTGAAATTCAAATAATTAAATTTTTTGTTTCTTATATAATATGACAAATAGTCAGATATTTTCAATTTAGGGATCATAGATAAAGATGTCCTGAATTTATGTTTCACTAAGGTGAACATTCTATATGTTATGGAGCTAGATTGCTATCATGTTCTTTCAGTCTGTTTTCTCTCTGTCTATTTGAGGATTTTTCTGGCAATATCCCAAACAAAAAGAAATCTATTCTGAATTGGTTTTAGCATTTTTGTTAAACTAACGTTGGGTAGGTGCTACTGAACCAGATGATTATCAGCTTCAGAAGTCTATACAGGAAAAACTTTTCTCTAAATAGTCAATGTTTTCTAGCAATACTATGGTGTAAATTCATCAGAATGTCTGTGGTTATTCTATGAGCATTCTATGAAGCCAATTTATCTTTTATAATGAGCAAAAATAAATCAGTCTTACAATATCTGAAAGTATATTCCAAATCCTTTTATAATTTCCAGTTATTGGTAAATATACTAACAGTACCACTAACAGATCAAGATACGAGCATGAATTTATCAATTAAATACAAGTTATAACAAAATGACAAATTTTACAATACTTAACTGGGAGATTTTTCTGTTTGATGGGAATATTTAAGCATAGCAAACCAAAATAGAAGTAATATAAATATATGTACGTTAACAAATTATATATACAACTTCAGTTATGAAAAAATTATGAATCATAACTATTAAATGTGTTTATGTTCAAAAGTTTTTTGCCTCTTAATAGCAAATGTTGAAGAAAAATAATACTTTCCTACTCTATTTGTACAATTTCGTTAAAATAATTATTTACTTGCTTTCATTTTTCTGATTTTTTGCCTGACTTTGCTAATATAATCAGGACTTCACATGGGTGCTACTGATACATAAAAAGAATGTAGGACATTTGACCTCAAAAGATTATTTGTTTATCTAATAAACAAAGCAATCTACTTGTTTGCCTATTGCACATTTGCCTATATGAAAAAAAATCACTGTTGCAATTCAACATTAAGTTGAATTTAGTATAGTAACTACAATAAAATGTTTTCCATAATTATACAACAATCTTCTCATAGGGTTTATATTCCTCCCAAGCAATTGCTTCAATGCAATAAGATTTGAAGGTTTTCTACCACGAAATGGTTTACTTAGGATCCAGCTCATAATATTTCAATGAGATTTAGTTCTAGACTCCAATTTGGCCATTTCAAAACATTAAATTTTTCTTTATATCCATTCTTTTAAAATAAAACTTCATTGACTAGTACAGGTTAAACTCAAAAAATTAGAATATCTTGCAAAAGTTCATTTATTTCAGTAATGCAACTTAAAAGGTGAAACTAATATATGAGATATACTCATTACATGCAAAGCAAGATAGTTCAACCCATGATTTGTCATAATTGAGATGATTATGGCTTACAGCTCATGAAAACCCCAAATCCACAATCTCAGAAAATTAGAATATTACATGCAATCAATAAAACAAGGATTGTACATAGACTAATACTAGTATAAGCATGCATATGTACTCAGTACTTGGTTTGGGCCCCTTTTGCACATTACTGCCTCAATGCGGTGTGGCATGGAAGCTATCATCCTGTGGCACTGCTGAGGTGTTATGGAAGACCAGGATGCTTCAATAGCGGCCTTCAGCTCTTCTGCATTGTTTGGTCTCATGTCTCTCATCTTTGTCTTGGCAATGCCCCATAGATTCTCTATGGGGTTCAGGTCAGGCGAGTTTGCTCGCCAATGAAGCACAGCAATCCCACAGTCATTGAACCAGGTTTTGGTGCTGTTGGCAGTATGGGCAGGTGCCAAGTTCTGCTGGAAAATGAAGTCAGCATCCCCATAAAGCTTGTCTGCGGAAGGAAGCATGAAGTGTTCCAAAATCTCCTGGTAGACAGCTGCATTGACCCTGGACTTAATGAAGCACAGTGGACCAACACCAGCAGATGACCTGGCTCCCCAAATCAACACAGAATGTGGAAACTTCACACTGGACTTCAAGTATCTTGCAGTGTGTGCCTCTCCATTCTTCCTTCAGACTCTGGGTCTTTGGTTTCCAAATGAGATGCAAAAGTTGCTCTCATCAGAAAAGAGGACTTTGGATCACGGAGCAACAGACCAGGTCTGTTTTCTTTAACCCAGGTAAGATGCTTCTGATGTTGTTTGTTGTTCAGGAGTGGCTTGACAAGAGGAATACGACATTTGAAGCCCATGTCAAGGATTCATCTGTGTGTGGTGGCTCTTGATGCACTGACTCCAGCCTCAGTCCGCTCCTTGTGAAAGTCCCCAACACTTTTGAATGGCCTTTTCCTGACAATCCTCTTCAGGCTGCGGTCATCCCTGCTGCTTGTGTACCTTTTTCTTCCACACTTTTCCCTTCCACATAACTATCTATTAATGTGGTTTGATACAGCACTTTGGGAACATTCAACTTCTTTTGCAATTACCTTTTGAGGCTTTCCCTCCTTATGGAGGATGTCAATGATGGTTTTCTGCACAACTGTCTGGTCAGCAGTCTTTCCCAAGATTGTGATTCCTACTGAACCAGACTGAGAGACCATTTAAAGGCTCAGGAACCCTTTGCAGGTGTTATGGCTTAATTAGCTGATTAGAGTGGGACACTTTGAGCCTAGAATATTGAACCTTTTCACAATATTCTAATTTTCTGGGATTGTGGATTTGGGGTTATCATGAGCTGTAAGCCATAATCATCTCAATTATGACAAATCATGACTTGAACTATCTTGCTTTGCATGTAATGACTCTATCTCATATATTAGTTTCACCTTTTAAGTTACATTACTGAAATAAATGAACTTTTGCATGATATTCTAATTTTTTGAGTTTCACCTGTATAGTTGACATTGTTCTCTTACTGTATGGTCTAGTTATTTAAGTTTGGCCTGATTTTATTCTGGATAACTTTCTGAAAAGTTCTGAAATCCTTCAATAATAACTGCATGTCAGATTCCGAGACAATAAAGTATCCCTAAGTTATTCCACAACCAGCTTCATGTTGTTGGTTCTTATTATGAGGTTCTCAGCATGGAATGCATTGCTTGATTTCTTACAGACACAACAGCACTGATACTGCCTGAAAATTCCTGGTTTTGACTCATTTTGGGGGAAAACTTTAGTCTATAATCCTGATGATGAAGCCAATAGCAATGACAAAGAGATCTGAAGATCTCTAGGTATTGTTTGGAGCATCTGTACTGATTTTCACAGGATAGACTCTCTTAAGAAAATTAAAAGCTTCAGTGGCCAAAGTTTACCCATTTTAGTAAAATGAGTTTGCTTGCACTTCAGTAGAAACTCAGAACTTTGGAAATGATTCTGTAATCTTTTCAGATCAGACAGGTAGGTATTACATTTTTTTTTGTATAAATTGTAATATTTTTATTTATAACTCAGCATGCTAAGATTTAAAATCTGTGTAATAAGAACTGTGATAAGAGTGAAGATTTGTAAGATTGCCACAGATAAACCAGGATTAGTCCAAATTAATTCTAACAGTTAGTGAAATCTTACACAACTGATCCTTTAAATCGACTGATATTATCTAGATGAAATAAATTATTCTACTTTGGCACATTAAATGTTGACCAACTTTGTTAATTAAATAAATAAAATTATCACTTGATTTTACTATTTTGATAAAAGGAGTTTGATTCAGACTTGTTTTATCTATTAGTAGGATTCACTTGAAACTCTTAAAACACCAAATGTAGAGATAAATAAAAATTTGCTACAAAAAATTGAAAGAGGGCAGATACTGTAATTGCTCTGACCAATCTGACAGGCTTGTGTAAATATCCATCTTGCTGGCCCTGATTATCTTCAATCTAATCCAACAGAACTACTCCCCCCCTCGGTCATGTGAAAAAGTAGGTACACTCTCTTTGAGTTCTATGGCTTTACATATCAGGACATAGTAAAAACCATTTGGTCCTTAGCAGTTCAAAGAACTCCGACTATCAGGATTCAAAAACAGAGCTTTCTCTGCTGCAGCACCAATCTTTTGGAACATTCTACCCTCTAGGATAAGATCTGTCACCTCCATCCTCCCATCTTCCCAGGGACCCAACGGGAGAGTTCCGAACTGGAGATGGCAGGCTCTACCTCCTTTTTCGCTCTCCACCTGTCCATCTTTTGTTACAAGATTAGTATATTATCACTTTCTTTTTCATTGTTTATTTTATTCTTCTATTATTTTACTTCTGCTTGTTAACCCTTCTTTTCATTTCCTTCTTTTAACTGTTGTATGCCACCTAGAGTTGCCCCAAAGTATGCAGCAAATACATTTAATAAATAAATAAATAAACAATATTCTAATGTGTATTTTAAAGTAGATAAATATAATTATCTTATTCCCCACTTGCCAAAATTTAATTATGCTTAAACCTCTATCAGAAAAAGATTAAAATTAATCAATAAGAATCAATGTGCACTGATGATGTTACCTAGTTTGGTAATCAAATGTCTTGAAGAAGACAACCAAGGTCAGAGAGCAACCAAGGACTCAACTAACCAATAAAAACATTACTAAATATGTCACTGATTGAAACAGGATATTAACATATAAAATAATAAAATAAAATAGTCAAGTTTCTATAGAAGAATTATTCTGTGAAAATGAATAATGGTGAGGGAGAGTAGGAGTGAGAGTGAGAATGAGAGTGAGAGAGAAAATACATATTGTTTAAACTGACTCCATATAAATTTATTAGGGA